CCTTGGAGTTTACTGTGGGAGATCAAGTTTTCTAAAAGTTTACCTCTACAAAGGCAATATGGGGTTTGTAAAGAGAGGGGAGTTGAACCCTTTGTTATGTGAGATTTTTTTCGATCATCGGGCGCATTGGACCCGTGGCATATAGACTCACTCTATCCCGAGAGTTCACAGGTTTGCATGATGTCTTTCATGTCTCGATGCTCAATAGATACCACATTGATCCTTATCATGTAGTCCTCGCGATGAGATGTAGGTATAGACCGAAATGACCTATGAGGAGATTCTTGTAAAATTTTTTGGGTGGACTGATAAGGTCTTACATAACAAGAAGATTCTTATGGTGAAGGTACGATGGTAGAATCATACCCTGGAAGAAGCGACATGGGATTGGAGAATGAAATGAGGAAAAAGTATCCAAACTTATTCGAGACAAATTTAGGGACAAAATATTTTTAAGGTGGGAGAGATGTAACACTCTGCCTATCACTGTGCTAAAATGATTTGGAAACTCTATTTATTCGGGATTTTGGCTGCTTTACACTTAATTAATTTACACTGTTTAACATTTATCGTGATTCATGATTTTAGTTGATTTTCATTTATTTAATTTTTGGTTAAACTTTGTTTTAATTAATTTTATTTTAAATGAATTTAATTTAAGTAAATTAAATTAAAAATAAAAATTTAGAAAAAAATCAAAAAATGGCAAAACGGGAAAAAAAATTCTCGTGGAAAGAATCCTGCGAGAAGGCTAGTTGCTCGCGCGGGTACTGGGCACTGTGCGCCCGCACAGTGGTCGTAGGACGTACGCACAGCACCCACGTCCCCTCCACACGCACGCATGCACACACGGGACGTGCGCACATCCTGTCTGCACGCGCGTCACCTTGCGTGCGGACAGGCACCACACATTGTGCGCACGCTGTTCGCGCAATAGGCCTGCGCAAATAGGCCCTGTGCGCCTGTAAGCTAGCCTGCAGCACGTCAACAGGAGCACTACCACCTCGGGCAGTGCACTGCCGCTGCCTTGGGCGATGTGCTGCCGCCGCCGATGGAGGAGGCCCTTCTCCCTCATTTTTTAGGCCAAGTATCTTTTTTTCGTCTCTCTTCACCGAATTTTACCACTTAGCGGGAATCCAACAGTTCCAAAATTCTATAAATTGCCTTTTCTCTTCCCTTCCTCTTTACACTTCTATTCTTCTATTTTACAAAGGTTTAAAGAGACAGAGAGAAAGATAGTAGTCTAGTGAGAGAAGAAGAAAAAGAAAGGAAAACGGTGAGGGAGAAAATATTAAGGTTTCGGTAAGGAATCTAGTATTTTTTTTCACGTTTTGAAGAGTATTTTTAGATAAACTAATTTAATATGATTGTGATTTTGTCTGTTTTATATGCCTTTATGTTTAGATGAGTCGAATTATTCTTGTTTTCAAGCATGCTATATGAATTACAGACACTTGATGGACTTGCATGTAATAAATATAATATGTAATCAGTAAACGTAAAAAGTATAAAAGAAAAGAAAAAGAAAAACTTGGAATGAAGCTTGTATGCTTTGAAGTATATCTGTATTGACATGAATATTGCATCAAATGTCTTGTTAGACTTTTTATCTCTGAGGGTAATATGTTCTCCTTGCCCTTCGGGGTATCTATTTCTCCCTCCCCTATCTGGTCTGTAAAGACATAAGAGGACCACTCCCAGTAGATGACGACATACTATCTATAAGAGTGGTATCGCACTAGCTGTATGGGTCACCCATGGCTAAGTAATGTCGTGACTATAGATATCTGTTAGGGCCATTATGGCTTGTACGACCGTGGTTGTAGATCGTCCAATGGTTTGGCCAGCCAGAAATGGGCCTGAGCAAATTGTCATACTTGTATATGATCTGGTCATTCCACTTGAGTAGTTAAAAATCTGTATTTGCCCTCAGAGATGGAAGTTGTAACGACTTTACGAAGCATGACATAAAAATATGAGCATTTCATGATTTATTTGATTTTCTCTATTATCTGGCATAATATATGTTAGATTGTCTGTATTAATGTATCATTTTCTTAACAAATAAATAATTTTCCATAATGTGAGATAGGTAAGCGAGGAAGTTAAATAGTAAGATGAAATAACTAATTTTTGAAATCTTACGATGTTAAATTTAGTACTATTTTCCTTACTGAATATATAGAACTCACTCTTTCCATACCCTGCAGATGAGGAAGAAAGTGAGGAATCACAGGCTGACCTACATTTAGAAGTCTATAAGGATCTCGTGGATCCACAATTTTAAGTGCATGACTGTTCTTGCACTCTAATGAGTCCAATAACATAGTGAAAGAAGTGATCATTATATTTGTTTTGTATTTTGCAGCCACTTCTGACATCAATATATGTATCTATTGGAATTTATATGTATTTGTAAGGGATTTGTGATGATTTGGTTCCGTTGCATAAATTTTATTATGTACTCATTACTCTGAATCTGTATCTGACGCTCATTTTTTTTTAATTAGCACTTAGGATGTCACAGATAGGGCCTCTTATATAGACTAACAAAAGTTTGATACCCATTTTTTAATTAAGACAAAATCCATGAAAAATCTCACAGCTTCTCTTGAATAGTGTCCAAACACTAAAAATGAAGGTAATGAGCAAACAGTTTGAGTATCAGAGCTTTGTCCTTTGCTAAGTCCTCATTAGCTTCTTATTTTCTTATTTCTCAAACAATCTCTCTGAATAATTGACTTTTATTTTCTCATAGAACACCCCTTTAGATATATATAAAATGAATTAATGTTAATTTACCTACTTAATAAATTTAAGATAAACCTACAAATTACACCCAGTATTTCTCATAGGTCATATCTACGAAAAGGCTTCTTAAACATTACGCTATTAAAATAATAATTTGTTCACCATGCTTGATCTTAAAAATGATGTTGCAAAAATTATTTATAATACTTACATAGTAAAAACTTTATTATAATAAAAAGTTTAACACTAGATTAAACTATAAGTAAAATCTTAAAAGACACTCCATGCCTTATAATGTTCTATTATAAGAAATTGTATGTTAGCTAGCAATATAATTCTTCACCTATTTAAAAAAATTCTAAGCTAAACCTCTAACATCCAACATTCCAGTCCACTTACTAGAGAGAGAAAATTTTTTAATTTTTAATAGCTGAAATTGTAACCATCTACTAGTTCACCTACTGCTTTTTTTTCCCTATTACATTGCAATTATATTCCTAACTGCTGTATATCCTTGACCACTCATCATTAATTTGTTTGAGCAATTCTCCATGGCCAACACGACCACTTACACACCACAAATGCAGAGTAAAACATAAGAGAGAGATAATGATAAGTTCCTCTACTCACCTTCTATATAACTCTATTAATATAACTCTAATCGTAATCTACTCCATACCATTATACAATTTATTCACCATGCTTGATCTCAAAAATGATGTTGCAAAAAGTATTTACAATACTTATATATAAAATCTTAATTCTAATAAAAAGTTTAACACTAAATTAAACCAAAAGTAAAATCTTCAAAGACACTCCATGCCTTGAAATATTCTATTATAAAAAATTGTATGTTAGATAACAATATAATTCTTCATCTATTTAAAAAAATTCTAAGCTAAACCTGTAACATCCAACATTTACTAGAATTAACTTTATGTATCTGGATACTAGTTTGGACAACATGAATTTTTCTCCAACCGAACCTTTTACACAAAATTAAGTACATGACATGCAAACTTAACATATTTTCGAAATGCATGCATGGGTAAAAACATTCAATCATGCATACAAGTTTGCTCTAATTTAACTATAGAAGTAGTAGCATGCACGTGCAGTCTAGGGATGCATGTACAAACACATATATGTATGCAACATATGCTCACACACATGCAACAACATGCAGTGCTCAAATCTT